TCTATTCTTGTTCCTCAAATTATGTTGATCATTATATCCCACATATGAGTGAGATCATGTGATATTTATCTTTCTCTGACTGGCTTATTTTGCTTAGCATAATGCTCTCCAGTTCCATCCATGCTGTTGCAAATCATGTATTTTCTTTTCATTTTCCTCTTTAAAATTATAGGCATATCTCAAACTTTAATGTAATCTATGGTAAAATACCTATTTTCCCCCTAATTTTTTAACCTTACCTTTATGACTTCACATGTTACTTCAAATGGTAAATGTCGGCTGGTGCGAGGAGTAACATTTTGCGTGCTGATTATGGAATTGAATATTAAATTGTGCATATGTTCTAAGTTCTCAAAAATCATAAAGTGCTTTGTTATTTGAAAACAGGTCGCGAAATCTACTTTAACAAGCACACGCACATTAAAGCTCCTTTCTTTTTTTCTAGGGAGTTTCAGTGTACCAAATTTTGTTGACTCTTCTAACTATGCTAAAGGTATTTCCAGAAGCTGTCCCCACTCTGGCTTTTAAGGGTTTTTATGGAGTTTCCATCACGTGGGCATGACTGACTGCATCCGTGTCCACCGAGGACTGAACTCAGCGTCTCGCTCTGCTCCTCCTCTGGAGGTGCCAGGAGTGCCGGGTGCTGAGGGTTCAGCCTGCTAGTCACCGGGTTGGCTTTTCTGGCAACCAGGCCCCCTTCCTCCAGGACTCACCTCCTGAGCACGAACTCACATGTGCCTGACGGGGTTTGCTGTGAGGAACAGAAGGCACTTCCAGTGCCAGGAAATCCCAAGGGTTGTCGGAGCTCTGTGCCAGGAACTGGGCTCAAAGGCCAAATATGTATGTTTCATGACATCCCACTTGTATCTAGAGCAGCAGTTCTCAACCTGTGGGTCGCGACCCCTTTGGCGGTCGAACGACCCTTTCACAGGGGTCGCCTAAGACCATCCTGCATATCAGATATTTACATAACGATTCATAACAGTAGCAACATGACAGTTATGAAGTAGCAACGAAAATAATTTTATGGTTGGGTCACAACATGAGGAACTGTATTTAAAGGGCCAGAAGGTTGAGAACCACTGATCTAGAGTTTCTACTCTGCGTTGTTAAAGAGACAACGGTTCTGACGCTTGTTAAAATGGTCAGGAAGACGTTTTTCAGCCCTCCCCCTGGAGCGGGAGAGATCAGGCCCAGTTCTGATACAGCAGGGACAGGCCGGGTGCAGAGCTGATGAGCAGCGTGAGGGGTCAGGGGGTGGGAAGTTACTAAGAGAAGGACATTGAGGTCCCCCCAGGCCCGTCAGTGGTGACTAAAGCCTCCCGCTTCACACACGTTTCCCACTGGCTCGAAGGTGCTGTGAAAATCGTATTTCCTGTCCGACAGGACATAAGGACAACGGTGGGGGAGACTGTAGAGGCCTGCGGTATTACAGTCCTACACGCCTGGGGACAAATGCCACCTTTGCCATTTCTTACAGCAAAGTGAACTTTCTGAACTTCCTGTTTGTCATCTCCCGGGAGGATTGAATTGTGTCAGGAATGTGACATTGAATTCCTAAATATTCCCAGCTCCACAAGCAAAACAGATAAATATCTGTGCTCCTTTGTACAACTGATGCCATCTTTGGTACCTTCTCTCTGCTTAAAGGTCCCCTTCTTTGAACCGTCCACCAAGTGGAAATGAATCAGGAGGCTCTGGCTAGAAATGAATGATATTTATTCAAGGGTTTTCGGGTTTGCAAATCAGAAACACAACTCCAAGAAGTTTGGAGTGCTCCGAAGGAGAAAGAAAAGCTGAGTTTTTATAGCAGAACGTACATGCCTGAGGTTCGGTCCTCCGCGATGACGGTCTTACAGATGCCCGCGGCCTGGATGATGACTGTCAAGGGTCTGGAGATGTGAACATTCTTTCCTGAGTCCTTCGGGGGCTAATCAGAGGTTTATCTATAGGATTTACATGGATGTTTATATGTATATACATATGTCTATACATGCATGTATGTGTATGTGTACATGCATATTATATCTACAGGCATAACTCTAGAGTTCACAAGTTTTAGCTCTCAGACTAGTTAGAACAAGGGTAGAGTCATCTCCTGCGCCTCTAGCAGCTCAACCACAGTGACTCCCTTGTATTTCTTCACCGTTTTCCTCAGAGCCTGGGTACCTTGTGATCAGTCTGTGGAGGAATTGACCCACATGCACATCCATTCAGCAGTCATCCAAGCACCTATTGTGTGCCTCTTGCACAGCCAAGTGCTATATGCAATAACTCGAGGAAACTATACTGACGTTTTCCAGGATCTGGAACGTGCACTTAGTAGGTGCTTAGTCGTGGATGTTTGTTGCATGAAGAAACAGATGTTACCTAAGAGAAATGTAGGTTCCGCTGGGAGAGCATCCTAGTCAGCGAAGGCTCCTGTAACAGACGCCCACACACTGGCTGGCCTATAGGCAGCTGAAAGCTATTTCTCACGGATCGGAGGCTGCGAGTCCTAGGTGAACATGCCTGCAGGTGTGGTGTCAGGTGGGGGCCCGTCCAGGTTCATAGATGGCAGTCTTCCGGCTGTGTCCTCACAGGGGGCACTGATTTCATTCATGAGGGCTCCACCCTCATGACCTATCACCTCCCAAAGGCCCCACCTCCAAATCCCATCATATTTGCGGGGGTTAGGATCTCTGTTGATGAATTTGCAGGGGTTGGGGAGGGGGACACACTGTCTGCAGCAGAGAGCTCCAGTACAGCCGTGTGTGAGGTGCTTTGTGAGTGTCAGGGCGGGAGGGAGCAATTCTCCCACTCCTGCTGCCCCGCGAGGAAAGGGCCGGAGGCGCATGAAGAGTGGCAGCCCACGCGGCTGGATCTGGAAGGAGATACTAGCATGTGTGGAACTGAAATCGTGCAGCAAATGGCATCACAGGGAGAGAGAAGAGCGTTAGCAAAGACGGGGGCCTGTCCTTGATCTTGTCCCTGGGGAGGAGGGGAGAGTTGCTTGGGGGGCAACTGACAGGTTGTCTGGGGCTTTGAAGGCACCTGAAGAATCAGTGCTTGAGGGGAGGGGCCTGGGAGAGCCGGGCAGGGCGCCGACCAGGGCTGTCAGCACTTGGTAACCCGGACCCAGAATCCTTCCTGGCTCCTGGCTGCCATTTGCTCAGCCTTCCTCTCGGGTTCCAGAAGGTCCCAGGGAACTTCTGATGCCTTTGTTGGCTTGTGAGCTTCCATTAGCACGGGCAACGGAGATCTGTTCGCTGGGGCCACGGTCCGTGCCTTTCCCACAGTGCCGGCGATGAATGATCGATAAGACGTAGCCGTCTGCTAGTCCGAATTTCTGCATTTGCCATCACAGAGCCGCCGAGAACTCCCGGCCCCTGGAGTTCCAAGTCACACGCTTCATGGTTATCTTTTTTCCTCCACAGAAATAGAAAAGTTTCAAAAAGGAGAAGGAAAGGACGAAGAGAAGTACATTGATGTGGTGATTAATAAGAACATGAAGCTGGGACAGAAAGTGTTAATTCCCGTAAAACAGTTCCCTAAGGTAAGACAGTGAGGCCACTGCAGGCGTGTGAGCTTCCGCCAGGGAGCTGCGTTTCTGTTTTGTTTGGTATTTTCCGAGGGGTCGTTCCCTTAGCACAGCCCCCTCCCCACACCCCCAACACACACAGACTTTTACACGCGATCAGGAACTTAGCGACTCCGTCTCCACTGTTTGAGGGATGGAGCCCTAAAAAGTATGCTTACAGGCACTCTGGCAATGTGACTGGACGGTTTAGTTAACTTCGTTCTACTTTAGTTTCTTTATTTGTAAGATGAGGGTTGGATTAAGAATGAAATTAGGGGGTTCAGCACATAAATGTTCAAAATACTGTTTATTCTAGTTACCCATTCTATAGAAAAGGGTCTGTTTTTCATTCATGCAAGTATTATTCTGTGCTATTAGGTGCTTTAAAGTTTGTATCTAATTCTAAAATCTGGGTCTTCTTAGATTTGGCCCAAATTGATACTATTTTTACTTGTTTTTCTTTCTTTTGTGAGTCCATGTACACAATTCCCGCACACTTTTGTAGATCTCAGTAGCTGGTTTCTTTAGATTGCTGAATACTAATCCGTTACCTGAGTATACCACACGTTATCCATTTGCCTGGGCCGTTTTCAGCATGGGTTATTATAAATCAAATTGCACACACATTTTCATACAAATCACTTTGTGACCATGTGTTTTCATTTATTTTGAGTAAATGCTTAGGCATTTCATGGCTGTGCATTTAGTTTTACAAGAAAATTGCCATACTCCTCCCCTCCCCTCCCCCTGCGAAGTGGCTGTACCCTGTGACAGCTCCAGGGGCAGTGCACACAATTGTGACTGCTCCAGGTCTTCGTCAACTTTTGATGTTATCAGTCGCTTCAATTTCAGCCAGGAGTGCTAGTGGCATTCCTTGTGGTGTTAATTTGCATTTTCCTGATGAGTAACGATTTTGTGTGCTTTTTCATGTATTTATTGGCTGTTCGTTTATCTCCTGTTGTGAAGTGTCTTTTTAGATTTTTGGTCTCTTTCTAAATGGGAAGGATGCCTTCTTACCATTGAATTGTAGGAGCTTTTTATATATCCTGGACACATATTTGTTAGACATGGGATTTGTGAACACTTGGGCCAGTCTATGACTTGTCTACTGTTTTCCTAATGGAGTCTTGTGATAAGCAGATGTTTTCGATTTTGATGACGTTTGATGTATCAGGATTTCCTTTTCTGATGGTTACCTTTTACCAATTAAGAAATCTTTGCCAAGCTCAAGGAAATGTTAAAGTCCTTTGTTAAATATAAAGATAATCTCCTGTATTTCCTTGTAGCTTTTACTTTTAGGTCTATGATGCATCTGACATTAATTTTTGTGTATGGTGTGAGATAGAGGGTCAAAATTCATTTTTTTCTTCATACAGATACTCAGTTTTTCAGTCAGATTTGTTGAAAGATGTTTCCTTCCCGATGATTGTGCATCTCTGATGAGAACCAGATGACTGTGGAAATGAGGGTCTGTTGTCACACTTTCTTCTTATGGATCCTAATGCTACTACCCTACTGTCTTCATTACGGTAGCTTTTTAATAGTAAGACATCAAGTTAGGTAATGTAGTCCCTTCAACTTTGTCCTTCCTTCTCAGGATTTCTTGGATATAGATCCTTTGCAATTTTATGTAAGTTAAGTAAGTATTGTATGAATTGTCCCAAAAGATTCTGTAGGGATTATGATTGCAGTTGCATTGAATCTGTTGATCAGGTTAGGGAGATTTGACATCTTAAAAATACAGAGACTGTCCTTCCTTGATCATGGTATATCTTTTCCATTTATTTAGATGTTTATTTTCTCTAAACAGCATTTTATACTTTTCAGGATAAAGGGATTATTTGTCTTTTGCTAAACTTGTTCCTAAAAGTTTTATGTTTTAACACTTGTAAAATGGATATTTAAAATTCTTTTCCCTTTTTTTTGCTTCTAATTAAAATTTTATATATTAACCTTGTGTGCTGCTAAACTCATTTGTTAATTCTAGTAAGTTGCTTTATAATTCTTTAGGATATGCTATGTACATAAGTATATCATCTGTAGAAACAGATTACTTCTTCTTTTCCAATTTGTGTGCTCTTTATGGATTTAGCTTGCTTTATTGTATTGGCTAGTATCTCTAGTATAATATTTGAATACAAGTGGGAAGATTCTTCCCTTATCCCGATCAATGTAGGAAACATTCAATGTGTTACCATTAAGAATGGTAACAGCCATAGGTTTTTATTAGATGACCTTTATGAGGTAGAGGAAGTTCCTTCTACTTCAGTTTTGTGAGAGGTTTAGTCCTGACGAAGTGGTGAATGTGATTGAATGCCATTTCTGCATCTGTTGAAACAAACACAGAATGTTACCTCCTTTGAATTTTCCACATGGTGAATTTTATTGATTTATTTATTTTAATTAAACCAACTTTGCATTCCTAGGTTAAACCTTACCTAGTAATGACCTATTATTCTTTTATATATTGTTGGATTTTATCCATGAAATTGGGGGCTCCTCAGCTCTGACTCTTGTCTTTTCTAGTGTTCCTCCCCGACATTTCAACGCTGCAGTTGCCTGAAACTCTGCTGTTGAGGCTAAACATTCCAAAATCAGTAAATTCGCCCAGGCCATTCCCTTCTCCCAAGTCTGACTCTCTTCCAGAATATTCTTGTTTCTGATCATTCTCCACGGGCTTCAGATAGTTGGTTTTTATAATTTGTTCAGAGCTTATGAGTTCAGAGTTACTATCTCATAGTTACTATCTCCAGACGTCATCCTGCTAGGAGTTCAATCAGACTTACAGAACCTTTTCAGTGAACTCTGTTGGGACCCTCTCACTGAGTCATTACGACCTGAAGCTTGGCTCCTGGAAACCTTCATAAAATGATAACCATACCCAACAGCCTCTGTATGCTTGATGTGCAGTAGATAGCCAATCATATCGCTGTCCGTCTTCAGATAGTTCAGAGCCTACTAGTTAATCAGTCTACAATTAATACTCTGCTGTGTATGAGTGAGCACACAGTGCATAGCCTAGTAGACGCTTAATCTATAATGAATACTCCGTTGTGTATGAGTGAGCACATGGTGCATAGCCTAGTAGATGATGAATCTATAATTAATACTCCGTTGTGTATGAGTAAGTGCATGAAATAAAGGATATGAAATAAAATCTCCAACATCGCTTTGCGATGTCAGCTTTGATGCGAGCAGGGGAAGACAGATGGTCATTCCTGTGTCTAACGGAGAGCAGCGTCCATTGCTAGTATTTCTAATGTGAGAAGCAGGCTGCTCAGAAACCCACTGCTTTCAGATGCTGAAGGAGGCATCTCTGCTTAGCATGTTGAGCGTGTGGGTTTCAGGCCGCCAGCCAGTGTCAAGGCGAATGGTGCACTTCCACCAGTTCTAAGAAAAGGCATTCCTGCTGGTGCCAGGCAATAGACTGGGCTGGGGGGTGGGGGGGGCTGGCGGGGCCTGGCCCTCTGGCCCGGCGGTGGGCACAGGGCAGCTTGATGTGGACTCGATGCTGACCCTACGTTTTCAGCTTCAGGGGCGAGAGAGAAATGCTGTGTGTGAAACTCCATCTACTGAGATGATCTTCCATTCATGGAGGGCTTTCTCTTTTCTTTTGTTTTTTAATCCTCACCCGAGGATATTTTTCCATTGAATTTTAGAGCCAGTAGAAGAGAGGGAAAGACAGAGAGAAACATGGATGTGGGAGAAACACAACAATTGGTTGCCTCCTGCACGAGCCTTGATCAGGGCCCAGGTCGGGGAGGAGTCTGCAACCGAAGTACATGCCCATGACCGGAATTGAACCCGGGACCCTTCAGTCCCCAGGCAGGCGCTCTACCCACTGAGCAACACCGGCCAGGGCCCTTTCTCTTCTCTTCATGCACTACTGTCTGCACTCCTGCAATGGCTCCCCCTTGAGCACCAGTCTTAGTGCTCAGACCTGACGTACGTGCACTCTCCCGAGCGACATGTCTGAGCTGGTCAGGCCTGAGCTCAGAGGAAGCACTGTTTTAGGGTTGTTGTTTTTGAAGATGTTAAGCTGGAGAGACGTTCTTCCTGGTTTCCCAGCGACCAGCCCTACCCCTTGGTGCTGAGCAGGGACTAGAGGTGACGGAGCTGAGGTCAGGGCCACATCAGCGTGGGAGCAGGTGCTCTTCTTGAGGTCCTGCCGACGCCTGTGGTTCGGGGTGTGCACTCCTCTCTTCATCCCCCGGTTCATCCATCCACTTACGTGCTCCACGTCCTTTGAGGGGTTTCTCTGAGCCGGGCAAGTGCCGGGAAAACAGCTGCGATTGAGGCAGGTTTTTTTCATAAGAAGCTCTTGGTTTTGTGGGGCCTGCCGAGGAGTAAGCTGATGCTCACAGTGCAGCGCGAGAGGCTCAATGTTAGGTGCTCCTGGAGACGAGGTGGGAGTGGGGGGGATCCTGCTGACACTGTCCCCAGGCGCTGGCTGGGCAAGGGCCAGGGTCAGACGGCGTGGGGCCGGCCTGGTCATGACGGGAGCACTCTGGAGGGCAGAGGCCACTTGAGAAATTACGGGCCGTTTTATTTGGTGCAACAGGTTCATTTCAGTACGATGTACAGATGCTTATAGGGTTTGTGAGTAAAGTGATGAGGGAGCAGAGGATGGGGTAGTGTGGGCCGTGGGGCTGTGAGGTGGAGGAGTGGTATTTGAGCTGCTTTAGAGGCTGGGGCGGGTGGGCTTCTTCAGGT